AGTCCCAGCTACTCAGGAGTCTGAGGTGAGAGGACTGTTCAGGCCCTGGAATTCAAGGCTGCAGTGAACTATGATCTTACCACTGCACTCCAACCTGGGTGACAGAGCAAGACCCTGTCTTTCACAAAAAAATAATTTAAAAAAGAACTCCTCCTACAAATCAACAAGGAAAAGTTAAACAACCAAAAAAACTTTTTTGGCAAAAGACTTAAGAATAACCCAAATGCATGAAAAGATGCTCCTTAGTAAGAGGGCAGTGAAAATTCAAACAACACTAAGACACCACAGCGTACCTCCATTTCAGCAAAAAATCCAAGTCTGATACAGTCACAGCTTGGCAAAGATGTGAAGTCACCAGAACATTTATATACTGCTGATGGGGGTGTATACTGTCTCAACCACTTTAGAAAACATGTGTGCACCCTATAACCTAGCAATTCCACCCCAGAAAATATTCCCTGGAGATACTCTTGCCCATATGTACCAAAAAACATACGAAACTAAGCATAGCAGCACCATATGTAGTAGTAAAAAAAACAAAAAAACCCAAATGTCCACGTGGAGTCAACAAATAAATAACTAGTGGCATATTCACGCAATGGCGGTACCTGGTGCCAACACTTAGGAACTGTGTGATCTTGGGAAAGTTACTTAATCTCTCTGTGCCTCAGTTTTCTCATCAGTAACATGAGGATAATACCAGTATTTACGTCACGGTGTTGGGGCAAGGTTCATTATCATTATTCCAGACCCTTAGAACAGTGGCTGCAGCAGAACAAGCTCTCTCTGTAAATGTTGGTGTTGCTAACGTTTCTTGGTCCCTGCCCTGGAGAAAGGCCATGCTGACATTTGACCACTCTGCAGGCTCTCCATTTCCATCCAAGCAGTGTTGTCCTCGCTGGTCTCTCCCACCTGGCTCCTGTCCCACCTGTAACACCCACCTACACTTCCACTGCTGCAGCACTCCCAGCTGCCTCCCGAAAGGCAGCCCTGCAGGGCACTGCCCTCTTCCTAGCAAGCCTCTCCTACTTTCTCAACTGCTGAACACCCACTTCCCTTGCCCAGACCCAGCTCAGACATCCCCCTCCTCTCCCCTCCTCTCCCCTCTGGGCATCCTCCATCCACTGGGCTTCAGTCTGTATTTCAGTGCTCTGGCTAGTTGTATTCTCCTCCCACTAGACTGTAAGATCCCTGGACGAGCCTCACTCCTTGTTCAACAAATTATAACAAAGCCCCATAAGCACCCAAGTTATGCCAACACTTACTCACTATGTGCACTGAGTGAGTCACTTAACTTCTCTGAATCCCAGTTTTCTTACTCAGTAAAATGGGGACGTTAACACTGACCTTTTTTTTTTGGAGACACTCTGTTGCCCAGGCTGGAGGACAGTAACGTCAGCACAACTCCCTACAGACTTGACCTCCTGGAGTCAGGTGATCCTTTCACCTCAGCCTCCTGGGTAGCTGGGACTACAGGCACACGCCACCATGCCTAGCTAATTTTTGTAGAGACAGGGTTTTGCCACATTGCCCAGGCTGGACTCCTGGGCTCAGGCAATCCACCTGCCTTGGCCTCCCAAAGTGCTGGGATTACAGCTGTGAGTCATCCCGCCCGGCCGACACCAACCTTTAATGGTTAATGTGAGGATTACATGAGATGACATACATGAATCTCTGTCTATAGTAAGCACACTAATGAAACGAGCTCCTCTTAGGCTGTTCATCTGCCGGGAAGACACGCATCTCCTGACACTCTGCAGCTGCAGACAGCCTACCTTGAACCAGGGATTCTGGGCCAAGCCAGAGGAGCTATGTGCCTCCCTGGTTGCAACAGGCAGACTGCGAGCAGCATAGGGTTACTGGTAGAGCTGCCCTCCACACACACTGCTATCCCATCCACAGTGCAGCTCCAAACCTCACTGGCCACTGTGGGGCCCAGGACAGACAAGAGAATGGTATCCACTCCCCCTCCCATCTCTCCTCCAAGAGTCTCTGGCCAGCCCAGTTCATTCTCCCCATTTCACAGATGAGGCAACTCAGATTCAACAAAAAGACATTTCTAAATATCTAAAGTCCTCTTGCAGCGAGGCACGGTGGCTCAGGCCTGTAATCCCAGAACTACGAGAGGCTGAGGCAGCAGATCACATGAGGTCAGGAGTTCGAGACCAGCCTGGCCAACACAGTGAAATCCTGTCTCTACTTAAAATACAAAAATAAGCCAGGCGTGGTGGCATGCACCTGTAGTCCCAGCTACTTGGGAGACTGAGGGAGGAGAATCACTTCAAACTGGGAGGTGGAGGTTGCAGTGAGCCAAGATTGTGCCACTACACTCTAGCCTGGGCAACAAAGCCAGGTTCCATCTTAAAAAAAAATAATAATATGTGGCCAGGTGTAGTGGCTCATGCCTGTAATCCTAACACTTTGAGAGTCCAAGGTAGGCGGATCACCTGAGGTCAGGAGTTGAAGACCAACCTGACCAACATGGAGAAACCCTGTCTCCAAAATAATAATAATAATAATAAAGTCTTCCTGTTACTGAGCTTACGAAAGAGGGGTTGAGGAAAGCTAAACTCATCTAAACGTCTAAAGACAGGTCTAAAGTCACCCTGCAGTAAGAGACAGAGCTTGACCTTGAACCTCTCTGGCTGCCCCTGCCACAAGCCAGGCTGTCTCCAGGGGAATGTGCTAGGGCCCTAAGCGGGGCTCTGGACTAGCCGGGCACTGTGCCCCCTGTTGCCCAGGCCCCACTCAGCCCTGTCTGCAATCACCCACCCGTCCCTGTCACAGCCCAGACTCAATTCTTCTTCAGCTGGGACTGGTTGTCATGGCAACAAACGAGTTGTTTGGAAAGCTGTGGGATGAGGGGCTGTGCCGCAGAGTCAAGGATGGAGCCTAGAGGAGCCAGCAGTCGTGGGCTGCTTCCAGTCAAGCCAGGTAGGAAGCTGGCTCCACCACCACACTCCAACCAGTCCCCTCAAAGGCTGCAGACCCAAGAATCCCAATTCTAGGCATCTGGTCCAAATACATCACATGAAGAAGGGAAAAGCCAGATGCACAAGGATGGTCCACCCCTGCATTACTTATAGCAGGACGCAATTGCCTAGGTTGGTAACAGGTAACCTGTCTGAGTATTTTTCTTGCACCAAGAACTCTGTTAAATGGCAAACAGGGATCGTCTCATTTCATCCTCACCGCATCCCTAGAAGGCAAGTCCTCTTAAGACCCACATTTTGCAGATGAGAGAATTACACTCGCCTCAGTTGTTCAGATAGCAGCAAAGTCAGGATTGAACATCAGCCTATTGGCCTCCGGGGCTCATGCTCCTAACTCCACTACAGTGGTTGGAAATGAGAAGAGGAAGTCCCAGCCCACCCTCTCATCCTGACAGTACTTGTGGTTGTGACAAATACATCCACAGACAGTTATGACGCAGGGCTCAGGAAAAGATCAAATTCGGCAGAACAAGGTGAACCAACTGAGAAAGATCTTCAAATACAAAATGCAAAGTCCTGGGACAATAAGGCATAATAGGAGCCTATTTATAGATAAAAAGGCTTGATGCATAGTGGAAAACAGCTCACTGGTTCTATTTTACTAATTGGCTGTTTGGCCTTGAGTACTCATGTCACCTCTCAGAGCCTCAGTGTTCCGATCAGTAAAATGGGTATATGTCAATAGTGTCTACCTCACAGGCTCGTTACAAAGATTGAAGATAAAGTGCTAGCACAATATCCAGCACGTGTTAAGCAAGCCAGACGCTGTTACGACTGTGCTGATAACACAAAACATGCACAGAGAAGGGCAGTGCAGTGAGCTCTCAAGATACATCGCCTGGGGTTATACCCTTGCTCCCATTCACAAGCTGGGTCTGTTACCTCACCTCTGTGGACACCATGTGAAGACGAAATCCGAAACACTTAGCCACGTCATGCACATTCGATAAAAGTGATGAAAATTCAACTGCGTGAGAAATATTCACCAAAACCAAGCAGAGTCATCTTCCGCCTTTGGTGTGTAGATGTTAGCTACGATTATTCATGAACTGATGATCATCATGAGTAAAAGAACAATGGAAAGGGAAATGGTGATATAGGGAACATGGCTGGGCACTGCCTCCCTAGCTGTGTGAGCCTGAAGCATACTGTTAACCCCTTGAGCCTCCGTTTCCCCGTCTGGTTAATGGGGCTAACGCCTATCTGACAGGGTAACTGTGGGCAGTATCATTCACCTTGTGCCTTGTGCTGGGCTAGGCACATTATTTTATACCATAATCTCATTTAATCCTCAAAACAATCCCATGAAGCTGGAATTAGCATCCCTTTTCTTTTAAATTTTTTATTTTTGTTTTCTTTAGCATCCTTTTTTTGAGACAAAGTTTTGCTCTTGTTGCCCAGGCTGGAGTACAATGGTGCACCCTCAGCTCACCGCAACCTCAGCCTTCTGGGTTCAAGCAAGCGATTCTCCTGCCTCAGCCTCCCAAGTAGCTGGGATTACAGGCATGCACCACCATGCCCAGCTAATTGTGTAATTTTAGTAATGTCTTCTCCATATTGGTTAGGTGGGTCTTGAACTCCCAACCTCAGGTGATCTGCCCGCCTCAGCCTCCCAAAGTTCTGGGATTACAGGTGTTAGCCAGTGTACCCGGCCTAGTATCCCCCCTCTTTTTTTTTTTTTTTTTTGTTTAAACTAATGAGAAAACCTAGAGAGATTTAAAAAACATCCCACGGTCACTCAGCTACGAAGTGGCCAGAGGCAAATTTGAACCCAGGACTCACTGGCTCCAAAAGATAATGACCCCTCACAAGGATTCAACGAATGTATTTTATTTTCTCTTTCCTGGCTTGTGGGCTTCGTTTTACCCATTTAGTTAATAGGGGTGTAAGAGAGAATGTTCATGATGAGGCCATCTAGCTTAGCTCTATTAAAGTATACCGTCAAGCATGACATTGAGAGACATGGCCAGGCCCCCCTCCTATCCCAAACTCTCAGACTCAGCTCACCAGTCTGGGGCAGTCTCCTGGGCTGGGTTCCTCTGGCCTGTCCTGGTGGGAGTTGTCTAAGCTTCTGTCTGTACCCTGGTCTTGGGCACAGGGCACTGGATCCTTCTTCAGCTTCTTAGCGCCCTTGGATCTTTTCTGCTCCATGAATGGGCCTGAGCAGGCCCTGCTGGCTTCAGGGTCCAGGGAGGAGCTGGGGCTGCACAAGGACTCCGGGGAACCGACACAGCTGTCAGCAGGGGCAGCAAGTCCTTGCTCCAGCCTTCCCCTGGATGCTGGCTGACCCTTGACCTGCAGCTCCTCCTGGTCCTGCGCTGCAGCCCGGCCTTCATCGCTGCCAGCCCACACGACATGCACAGCTTCTTGCTGCTCTGCAGAGGCCCTTGCTGACACCCCCAGGCACAGTGCCTCGCTCTGTGGAGGAGCCTGTGCAGCTGGACTGAGGGACTCCCCTCTACTGGGCACTGGGAACCTGACAGCGCCACAGAGGCTGCCTGGCTGGGCCCCATCCCCTGCAGCAGGCAAATATCCAAACTTCTCAGTCCCTGAGGCACATCCTGCCCCACTGCCACCTGGCTCTGCAGACCCAGACCCAGTGTCTCTGCAGGGGCCTCCCAAGGACTCCAGGTCAGCACCCTGGGGAGGGTCTCCCACAGACAAGGGCTTGTCTCCACCAGGGCTCCGATCAAGCCACGGGAAGCTGCCGGCCCTTTCCCCACCCTCCAAATGGACCCCCTGCTTCCTGCTTTTCTTTCTAACCCTCACAGAGGCTGGGCCTGGTGAGGATGTCGGGGGCCTTCCATGGGGCTCCTCTTTGCTGACCGTGGGGCTTCTTCTGTCACACCCTGGAGAACTCATCCCACTGTCTCTGGCATCCCTGGACCTGGGGCAGCTCACCTCCTCCACCCCTGCAAGCCTCTCCCTGCAGACCAGAGCTCTCTTTGGAAGGCCAGCAGAACTGTGACAAAGTTTCCTGGGGCCACTGTCAGCTAAGATGTCACAAAGAGAAACCTGGAGCCTCTTGGAGGTCAGAGCTCTCCCCTGAGCTGGTACTGAGGGCAGCTGCATGTGGAGCCCAGGACCCGGCCTCGAGCCCTGGCTCTGTCCCACAGCGAGCAGCTCCGAGACCCCTGGGCAGACCCCAGCAGTACCTGGAGCCCAGGAGCTGGCACCTTGATGGGCCTCCTTCCTGGGGATCTTCCTTCTGCTGCCAGCCCTGACTCGGGGCCCAGAGCTTGTTCCTGGCCCATCTGGTCCCAGGCCTGGTGTGGAGCTCGCTCCTTCCATGTTCTGTAAAAGCTCACAGTTGTGTTGGGGACTGAGCACAGGGTCTTCGGTGCTGGGGACCTCTGCATCACCCGCTTGGGACATGTCTGTCCACCTATCTGGGCCAAAAGCACAACACGGGCCCTGTGTGGAGACGGAAAGAGACTTTGTCATCGAGAGTCCAACCTGTCAGCCCATTCAGTGGGAACTAGGAGGAGCCCCTCTTCCAGGCAATGCTCCCAGACCCTTCCACTCCTGAGGCCTAGGCGTGAGCACTCCAGGGAGGGGAGCACCCAGCAGGAGCTGGTGCCCAGGTGAGGGTGGAGAGGCCTGCCTCCAAATAGGGCTGAGCTACAAGTGGCCTCCAGGGCCTTCTTGTCTCTGAGAGTTTGCTCATTCGCTTAATGGGATCTAATAAGATACCAATTATTAATGGCTTATGTGCTTACTTCATTTTATGCTGGCAGCCACAGACAAGGACACTGAGATTCTGAGATGTTAAGACACTCACCCAAGGGCACACAGGAAGTGGAAGGGCCAGGATTCTCTCTCAAATATCTTTTCTTCCTCAATTCCCCCTCCCCCGCCCCCGCCCCCGCCCCCGATGGAGGCTCACTCTGTGGCCAAGCTGTATTGCAGTGGCAAGATCTCGGCTCACTGCAACTTCCGCCTCCCGGGTTCAAGCAATTCTCCTGCCTCAGCCTCCTGAGTAGCTGAGGCGCACGCCACCAGGCCCAGCTAATTTTTGTATTTTTAGTAGAGATGGGGTTTCGCCATGTTGGCCAGGATGGTTTCAATTTCTTGACCTCGAGATCTGCCCGCCTCGGCCTCCCAAAATGCTGGGATTACAGGCGTGAGCCACCGCACCTGGCCTCAATTTTCTTTCTCAATTAAATTCTCTCCCAGCTCTTAAACACTCTGCAAGGAGCAGATACTAAACGCGGTTCATGCCCGTAACCCCTCCCGTCCCTCTCCCATCGCTCCCGTTCTGAAAGGCGCCCCACCCAGGTTCGTAGGCCTTCCTGAGGCAGTCCCCCCAGCATCCGGGAAACCGGGCCCCACTGGTCTCGTCGCTCTCACCTGGGCTTCCCCGGGTTTTCCTCCTGGGGTTCCACCCACCGGCTGAGAAGGAGCTGGGATCACGTGATGCGGGGGAGGGCGGCACCTGGTGAGGGATAGGGGTGGAGTTCCTGATGATGCGCACATGGAGGCTCCCCAGGCGTGCTGGCGTTCCTGCCATGATAGAGGGCGCGCCCTCTTCCTCCCGAGGGCTTCCCGGAGGTGGTGCCAATCCTTCTGGCTCCCAAGCAGAGGTAGGTGGGTGCATGGGGCAGCGAAGGGCCTTCACTGACTGACTGAGAGTTTAACTTCATCCTCCCGCAACAGTCCCTGAGCTGATAGGGGAATGTCAGAATTATCTAGATTTTTTGCCTATATTATTTTTTAAAATTTTATTTCAGGTTCAAAGGCACATATACAGGTTTTTTATATAGATAAACTTGTGTCACAGGGGTTGTTGTACAGATTATTTCGTCACCCAATTACTAAGCCTAGTAGCCAATGTTTATTTTTTCTCATCCTCTCCCTCCTCCCACCCTCCACCCTCAAGTAGGCCCGGTGTCTGTTGCTCCCCACTTTCTGTCCAGGTGTTCTCCTCGTTTAGCTCCCACTTTAATCGAGAACATGCGATATTTGGTTTTTCTATTCCTGCATTAGTCTGCTAGGGATATGGCCTCCAGCTCCATCCGTGTTCCTGCAAAGGACATGATCTCATTCTTTTTGATGGCTGCATAGTATTCCATAGTATTCCACTTCTTGCCAGTGGGTATTTAGGTTGATTCCATGTCTTTGCTATTGTGAATAGTGCTTGCCTAATTTAAAAAAAAAAAAAAAAAACCTCAGCTATAATTAATGTAGATGGAAATGCAGATTCAAGCCCAATAGAAGGTTAGAAATAAAAAGTTGAAAGCTTTCTCTCATTTCCCAATCCCCAAACTCCTGGAAACAACTGTGTTTTGTTTTTTGTTTTTTTACCATGTTTGTTGTTTTAGTTTTTTAAATTTCCTAACTGTGAATAACATACTCATACCTCTATTACTTGATTTATTAATTTTAACTGTACCTGTTGACTTCCTGCTGTGGTGATTTTAACCACCACCCTTTCCCCCTTTCTCCTCCAAGTTTTTCTTTTTTATATTTATATTTCAAGTTTTTCTATTAGTTTCTATTATCACTTTGAATAATATTCTTAAATGTCTGTTTCTTCTGTATTTTGTATCTCTTGACTCTTCTCCGTGTGAAATGGTTAATTTCCCCTGATATCCACTCCCTGCATCTGCTTTAATCCATGAACTAAGCTTTTACTTTTTTTTTAGACAGAATCTCACTCTGTCACCAGGCTGAAGTGCAGTGACACAATCTCAGCTCACCGCAACCTCCGCCTCCCGGGTTCAAGCACTTAGGTAGTGCTGTATTGAGCCAGGGTCTAGTCTAAATACTTTGCCTCTATTAATTTACCTATGTTAATCCTTACACCAAGTCCATGAGGTAAGAACTGTTATTATCCTTATTTGACAGATGAGGAAATAGGCAGAGAGATTAAGTAATTTGCTCAAGGTTAGCAAGTACTGGTTTTAGAAGCCAGCCAGTCTCTGGCCAGTTTCTCTATCTCCTGGCATTCTAACTTGGGTTTTGTTTGTTTGTTTGTTTGTTTGTTTGTTTGTTTGTTTGTTTGTTTTTTGAGACAGTCTCACTCCATCACCCAGTCTGGAGTGCAGTGGCACAGTCTCAGCTCACTGCAACCTCCACCTCCCGGGTCCAAGCGATTCTTCTACCTTGGCCTCTGGAGTAGCTGGGATTACAGGCATGTGCCACCACAGCCAGCTAATTTTTGTGTTTTAAGTAAAGACGAGGTTTCACCATGTTGGCCAGATTGGTCTCAAACTCCTGACAAGTGATCTGCCTGTCTCGGCCTCTCAAAGTGCTGGGATTACAGGCATGAGCCACTGTGCCCAGCCTATCTCCTGGTATTCTAAAATGTCTTATTGTCGTAAAAAAATAAAGTAAGGTTTTGCCCAGGTTTTGGCCTAACGACATTTACCCCATCATTAGCTGTTTGCTCCACTGACTCATGACAGCACCTCTTCGATATACCTGGTTCCCATTAATGAACGCAATTTATTTCTTGGCTTTTTTTTTTTTTTTTGAAATGGAGTTTCACTCTCATTGCCCAGGCTGGAGGGCAGTGGTGGGATCTTGGCTCACTGCAGCTTTTGCCTCCTGGGTTCAAATGATTCCCCTGCCTCAACCTCCCAAGTAGGTGGGATTACAGGCGTCTGCCACCAAGCCCAGCTAATTTATTATATTTTTAGTAGAGATGGGGGTTTCACCATGTTGGCCAGGCTGGTCTCGAACTCCTGAACTCAGGTGATCAGCCCAGCTTGGCCTCCCAAAGTGCTGAAATTACAGGGATGAGCCACTTCGCCTGGCCTATTTATTGGCTTTCTTTTCTTTTCCATTGATCAATTTGTATATTCTTGCTATTGTTTTAGATCTATGGTTTTGTGATAAATATTGCTATTGGGGGAGCAAGCTCCACCCCCCCCAACTTGGTTTCTATTTTTTATAATCGTCTTAGCTAACTGTATACCTTTATTCTTCCATATGAGCTGTAGAATCATTTTGTCAAGTTCCTTGAAGAATTCTGTTGGGATTTAAATTAGAATTTCATCGAATTTACAGATTAGGGATAAAATTGAATAATACTGAGTCTTCTCATCCATAAATGTACGTTATTTCCATTCTTTGAGGCCTTCATTTCTGTGATTTTTCTTCATCAAAATATCACATATTTTAATTAAATTATTCTATTTAATATTTTATTGCATTTTTTTTTCTTTCTCTTTCTTTTCCTTCTTTTTTTTTTTTTTTTAAATAGGGTCTCACTCTGTGTACAGACTGAACTGCAGTGTACAATCACCTAGGCTCAGATGATTCTCCCACCTCAGCCTCCTGAGTAGCTGGGACTACAGGTGCCTATCACACTATGTCACTTAGGCTGGAGTGCAGTGGCGGGATCTCAGCTCACTGCAACCTCTGCCTCCCGGGTCCCAGTTAAAGCAATTCTCCAGCCTCAGCCTCCCAAGTAGGGGACTACAGGCACATGCCACCATGCCCAGCTAATTTCTGTATTTTTAGTAGAGACAGGGTTTCACCATGTTGGCCAAGCTGGTCTTGAACTCCTGACCTCGTGATCTGCCCACCTCGGCCTCCCAAACTGCTGAGATTACAAGCGTGTGCCACTGTACCCAGCCCCTCAGTTCGTTTTTTAAACTCTTCCTTTAGCTGGACAAGGTGACTCACAACTGTAATCCCAACACTTTGGGAGGCCAAGGCTGGAGGATCACTTGCATCCAGGAGTTCGAGACAAACTGGACAACATAGTGAGACCTTGTCTCTATAAAAAATACAAAAATTAGGCAGGCATGGTGGTGTGTGCATGTAGTCCCAGCCTAGAGACCGGGTCTCTAGGGAAAGAAAGTATTAGTGCCTGACTCACATTTATTTTTTGTAAAGATGAAGTCTCTCTAAGTTGCCCAGGCTGGTCTTGAATTCTAGGGCTCAAGCAATCCTTCTGCCTCAGGCTCCCAAAGCACTGGGATTACAGGCATAAGCCACCAGACCCAGTGGCTACCTGTTATTACTAAAAATAAATGTAGTTTCGGGCTAGGCGTGGTGGCTCACGCTTGTAATCCCAGCACTTTGGGAAGCCAAGATGGGAGTATCACTTGAGGCCAGGAGTTCAAGACCAGGCTGGTCAACATAGTGAAATGCCCCCCCATCTATAAATAAAAACAAATACATTATATATACATAAATGTTTCAGCCAAGCATGGTGGTGAACCCCTGTAATTTCAGCTACTCTGGTGGCTGAGGTGGGAGAATCCCTTGAGCTCAGGAGTTTGAGACCAGCCTAGGCAACATAGTGAGATCCTCTCTATTGAAAAGAAAATTAAAATGTACGTTTACCGCATTGTGATAAGTTAAAATGGTCTATATGATGTTGATTTTTTTTAAGATTTCCTTTGTGATCTGATATACAGTCAGTCATTGTTAATATTCATTGTATGCTTGAAAAATGATTAAAATTATCATTTAATAGTGAAAAGCTTAAATTTAATAGTTTAAGCTTTTCCTTTTGTTTTTCTCAAGATGAAGGCTTACTCTGTCACCCAGGCTGGAATGCAGTGGCGAAATCTCGACTCACTGCAACCTTCGCCCCCTGGGTTCAAGCGATTCTCCTACCTCAGCCTTCCGAGTAGCTGGGATTACAAAAAAGATGGTGCCCACCACCTCACCAGGCTAATTTTTGTATTTTGGGCAGAAACAAGGTTTTGCCATGTTGGCCAGGCTGGTCTTGAACTCCTGACCTCGTGATCCACCCGCCTCAGCATCCCAAAATCCTGGAATTACAGGCGTGAGCCACCACGGCCAGCCAACAGTTTAAGCTTTTCTTACCTCAAACTTTTTACTCGTGTTTTTCAAATCCATAGTAATCTATAGTAACTTGAATCTATAGAAATCAGTGTTAAATGCAGGAAACAGAAACTAGGTATTTTAAGCAAAATGAGGCCATTGAGTGTTTCAAAAGTCATTGGAAAGCCAGGCGTAGTGGCTCATGCCTGTAATCCCAGCACTTTGGGAGGCCGAGGCAGGCAGACTGCTTGAGCTTAGAGGAGTTCGAGACCAGCCCAGGCAACATGGAAAAACCCTGTCCCTACAAAAAGTACAAAAATTAGCTGGATGTGGTGGTGTGCACCTATAGTCCCAGTTACTTAGGAGGCTGGGGTGGGAGGATGTCTTGACCCCAGGAGGCAGAGGTTATAGTGAGCCAACATCACACCACTGCACTCCAGCCTGGGAGACAGAGCCAGACCCTATTATATTAAAAAAAAAAAAAAAAAAAAGTCACTGGGAGGCTGTAGGAATGGACCTGAGGCTGGGCCTAGAACACACGTTAGAACTGTATTTATTAATACACTGTTAGGGTGACAATACAAATATCTCATACAGGCACCGCCGCTGCTGCTCCTACTGCCCACATGCACAACACTAGGGGTCAGACACTGACACGGGCAAACTCGATGGAGCCGCAGCTGTGCCTGGAAGCAGTAACAGCCGACAGAAAAGGACAATGGTCTTGGCCCCTCATCTGCCTTTCAGATCTTGCACAATA